CGGAGACATCATTAATATAAATAATTTTAATCGCCGTTGAATAAGAAATGTTTCTTTCACAAGAAATGTATAAAATTACAGTACTGTATTAGACTTACGGTACCTAATTTACATACTGACAGACGATAGTTAGCGTAAAAATCTCCGTAGCGTGGCGCCACGCTAGACGGCGGAAATTATATATTTAATTATAACAAAGTTACAATAAGTTAATATATAATTATATATACAGTACCTAATTTATATATAATTAATATATAATTATATGTACAGTACCTAATTTATATATAATTTATATAATATTGTCCAGACGATAGAAATCTCTCCGTAGTTGGCGCTACGGACGGCGGGAAAGTAGTTCGGCTGCCCGATGACGTTTGAGGTGTTTATAGGGAACTTTTACTATTTTTTACGGATACCAGTAGCAATTTTTTCGTAGTTTTATAGGAATCGTAATTATAGGGACCGTAATTATAGGGGGGTCGACTGTACTGATCGGATAGTATTCCCCTGAAGTTTGAAACTCTCCCTTGTAATTCCAGCCTTTTATATTTCTGACAAAAAGACAATTCTTTTACGTTTTCTTCTGAAAATGTGGATTTATGCCGATATCTGCTATTAAAGATCTTTTGAAAAAGTGGGAGGATGTCAGAACAACGGTCTTAAAATGGCATCCAAACCAGGTTGAGGTTAATAGGCCTATAGATCTCTACAATTACAATGCTATTAATTACTTCTGAAAAATCATGAAGAAGACAGAAAAGCAATCGACATTGGACAGATTCTTTAACCCCCACAAACGGAAAAAACACGACTAATAAAAATGCAAGACCATGTATATGTGTATTTTTATTATTACATGTGAATAAACATAGTAAGAAAGTATATATATTATTATTTTTTTTGGGGGGTCTCCAGAACGAATTAATCAAATTCACATAAAAACCTATGGTAAATCAATAATCGGTTAACGAACAATTCGGATAGCAAACAAAGTCTTGGAACGGATTATGTTCGTTAACCGATCACCCACTGTATTATGCATAAAGAATTCATCCCAAGGTTCATTTGGTGCATGCCAATGTTCTGCAGCAGTTACTGCAAGATTGTCTGCTACCATTACCTTGGACTTTGCCAGCCAGTCCTTACTGCTACTCATCTGACCATGTGACTTTTTTTTAATCCTGTCTAAAACAATCTGTGAAAGGCAGACATTGCAGCAATATAGAGGGACAACATCCAATGGACCGTGTACACATAACTTACATGTTAACTCCATTAAGGAAGAGGAATTCCAGAGCTGCTTTAAGGCTTTCCACCACCATCAAAACTGCTCAATCTGAGAACTTTTGGGACAAAAGCAGTATATTTATATACATATTTTTAAAATTAAATACAGATTTTTTCAAACATTTTTATGTGTTTATTATACTTTTACTTTTCATTACTCATTTAATATCAATACATATCTAATCAAACATTTGGCTCTTATCAGTTATCAATCACAGAGAAAAAAGTTTTGCTGCCATTAAGAGAAGTCAATTCAATCAACATAGTCATGATTTCTTTTTGTGATAAATTCAAACAAGCTTCATTTGCATCTCTCATCTTTACAAACATAATTTATTTCAAATTGGCCTTGTATAAATCACAAAATAAAATCAAACTTAAAATTTTAAAGAAATCAAATACCATTATTTTTTACAATGAATGTAATTACATACATTTAAAATGATAGCACTAGTTATGAAAAGATTTTATTTCCATTTTAGAAACTTTCTATGGAGTATATGAAAGCGTAGATCATTATCTTGCACAAATTACAGTACGTTAGGAGAATTTTTCCATTTTCTGGAAGATTTTTCTTAGAAAGTTTTGACATTTTGTCATTAATACGCTTCTAATACACAGATACAAATAGATTTCATGATGATGAAATCTAACTTAATTAAATCTTATCTGCCAGTAATGATGACATCATCTATTTCATGATTTTAAGTGGAAATTTTATCAGTAAATCAGCAATGCAAACAACTATATTATTTTCTATAGATAAATTTAAGTAATTTCACAATAATAATATTTTATTTCTTTAAATTATTAGGACTTTAATATAATAGTTATGAAATTTTCCATTAACAAAAAAAATTTCAAACTGTTCTTGTATACAAAAGATATCACAAAAACCATTCTGAGCTATCCTTTTAGGAATGATGTGATTACAACCCATAAAAGAAAAAAACATGTAACTCTAGATAAGTTTTAATTTCTCAATCTATATATATAATCGAGACGAGTTGATAATAATAATAATAATAATAATCAGCGCAGAGCCCAAACGGTTAGGAGTTGAAAGTTGAAATTTGGTACACAGATAGGGTACATCACGAAAACGCACACTAAGAAGGGATTTTTCGAAATTCTCCCCCGGGGGGAGAGAGACAGGATTAAAACTTCTATATACATTATGGATATGAGCCAAACGGTTAGGAGTTGAAAGTTGAAATTTGGTACACAGATAGGG